GATCCCATATAGTTAATTTGTTGTATGCTTATTTTTCATGGCAAGGCTTATCTAGGAGGCATGTCTTGCATGAATTGTAATGGCACTCAAAACAGGTGTTAGGCCAGTGTTTACTAGATTCCTCAGTTTGGTCTGATATGAAGCACAGCATTTCTGCACATACATGGGATGAGGCAGTTTGGTTGAATCCAGTAATGTTAAGGGTGACCACCTGATTGTAGTCAGTGGAAGAGTAATCGCCTTGAGCCATAAACTGGGAGTGGGTTGTGTCATCTTGGTGCTATGTTGCTTGGATGTAGAAGCACCATCTATGGGTTGGTATAGAAGTGTGAGAGAGATTAATGATTAGTAAAAGAAGAAGAATATTGGTGAGAAATCTTGAGTTTGGTGGGCCCCAGTGTGGTGGAAGTCCAAGGACTGGACATTTGGAACAAGAGCCTTTAAGGCGGCAGACATGGTACCAGGGTAAGTGGCCCAAAAACTTGGCTGCCACTGGGGTTGTAATTATGACTGTATGGGGTCTTGTCCAGCAAGGTTCCAATGATTGAGGATGTAGTTCCCTAAGTAAGAATGCGTCATCTGGTTGAAGAGGGTCCAATTCGGTTTGTGGCTGAGCTGGGATTGTGGCAATGGATGGTGCAGGAAGATACTGGTCTGCGTGTTCCCTTAGGAGTTTGTGTAGAATTGTGAGATATAACAGATAGGACACAAGGGGATGAAGAGTGATTGGAAAGCTTTGGTTGATTAAGAAAGGGCACCCATGGAGTTTCTCAAAGGGACTAAAGCCTGAATTCAGGTGAGGACCAATGGCAGGAGATTAGGCCAGGAAAGCCTGAGTTCAATAGCAAGTTTAGTGAGATGTTCCTTGAGAATGCCATTAGCCCTCTCAACCTTACCCAAGGTTTTGGGATGGTAGGGGATGTGGAGCCTCCAAGGGATGTTGAGGCCTTTGGAGACTAGTTGAACAACCTGAGAAGTGAAGGTCAAATCATTGTCTCATTGGATGGAGGTGGGAAGTCCAAACCTGGGAATTATCTACTTGATGAGGATGGAGGCAATGGTGTCATCAGTTTTCCTGGAGGTAGGGAAGGTTTCTATCCAACCTGAAAAAGAATGAACCAAAGCAAGTAGGTAGTGAACCTTTTTGTGCCTAGGCATGTGAGTGATGTCAATCTGCCAGTCTTCGCCTGACTGGTGGCCCCTCATCTGATGTGTGGGGAGTTTAGTTTTGGTGCCTCCTTGTGGGGATACTGTATAGCAGACAGAACAAATGGAGTGGACCTGCTGGAGGGTAGTTTTCATTCCTGGGGATTAAAAGAGGTGTTTTAAAAACTGGAAAAGGGATTTGGGGCCAATATGAAGACAGTTATGAATGTCCATCAATAAACTGTAAGCTTGTTGTTTAGGGAGGGCAATTTGATCCCCCAGGAAGATCCAGCCATCCTCCACAAAATGGCCACCTTGCCTTATTAGGTCCTGTCATTCCTGTGGGGAATAGTTAGGTTTAATTGTGGAGGATAGAAATAGGATAGGGCCTGCTGAGAATTTTGCCATTAGTTCTTGTGCTATAGCGTTTGCTTTGTTGTTGCCTATAGCTATAGGGTCAGAGGAATTTTGATGTATTATGGCCACTCATGAAGGCAGTTGTAGTGCCTCTATGAGTTTGGAAATCAGAGTGGCATTGACCACTGGTGATCCCTTTGTGGTCAAGAATCCACGTTCCTTCCAAATACCTGAATATGAATGAGTAATTAGGAAAGCATATTTGAAGTCTGTATATGTTAACCTGTTTGTCTTTGGATAGAGTGAGAGCTCTGATAAGTGCAAAAAGTTCAGCCTTCTGTGAGGTAATCCCTTCAGAGAGGCAGCTGGCTTTTAGAACTGAGGCAGTGGTGACTACTGCACATGCATCTTTACACCATTTGCAGCGACCCATTACCAAACCGCTATCTACAAAACTGGTTAAGTCAGGTGAGGGAAATGGGTAATCAAAGAGGTCCTCATGGGGTAATTGTGGGGCCTCCAGAACCTGTGGACAGGAATGGTTAGCATTCGAAGAGGGTGGGGATTGTCAAAGGAGTGTGGCAGGATTGAGGGAAAAACAAAGGTAATGGTGGAGTTTTCTATAAAGAGAAGGCGGAATTCTTAAATTTGTGAAGGGCTCAGAAGGGGAAGAGATTTATGATTTAAGAAATCCTGTAGTCAATGGTGGAGAATACAGTTATTTGTTGGAGCAAGGTAAATTTTAGGGCTTTCTTAAAAGTTAGTTTCATTGCTGCTTCCAGTGCTCAGAGGCATGGTAGTCATCCATGAACCATAGAGTCAAGCTGCTTGAACAGTTTATAGAAGGATCCAGTTGGTTGAGTGAGGAGGTTAGTGTTGATACCATGTTTTTCTTCCATAAAGAGGTGGAAAGGATTGTTATGTTTAGTAAGAGATAAAGTGGGAGAAGATTTGAGAGCATCCCTGAGCTTAAAAATGGAGTTGGCTATAAGGTTAGGGGAGGTGAAAGGCTCATGGGGGGTTCTCATTAGCTGCCTGATATAAGGGCTTGACAAAGAGTGCAAAGCTGGGGACCCAATGTCTGAAAAGCCAGCCAGACCCAGGAAGGAGAGAATGTAGTCTGCTCTTTTGGATGGCTGTAGATTACGGAGAGCTTAAATTCTGTCTGTTGTCAGGTTTCTAGAGGTTGGAGTGAGGAGTATGCCTAAATAGGTGACTGAAGAGGTAGTAAACTGTGCTTTGGCTGGAGAGACCCAATATACCTGGGACCCAAGAAAATTGAGGAGCTGAGCAGTGTGAGTTTAGGAAGTCTTGAGGGATGAACTGCATAGGAGAAGGTCACCCACATACAGTAAGAGAGTGCTATCCTGCAAGTCACAAGTGATTAGATCCTGTGCCAAGCCTTGCCCAAAGAGGTGGAGACTATCACTGAAGCCTTGGGGTAGAACTGTCCATGTCAGCTCTTGAGACCTAAAGGATGTAGGGGTCTTCCCATGTGAAGGCAAAGAGGTAATAAGAGTCAGGATGGAGTGGCACAGTAAAGAAGGCATATTTAAGACCCAGTACAGTAAAGTGAGTGGTTGAAGAAGGAATATGAGAAAGAAGAGTGTAAGGGTTTGGAACCACTGGGTTAATGGGAATAACTGCCTCATTAATTAGACATAGGTCCTGGACTAAGCGATAGGCTCCTGAAGGTTTGGGTACTGGCAATATGGAGTGTTTCAGGGGAATTCAATAAGGATGGGGAGTCCTGGGGAAGTAACTGGTCTATGATGGTTTTAAGTCCCTCTCTTCCCCCTGGAGATGGGAAATTTGGGACATGAAGAAACTTTAGTTTGAAGTTTCAGTTTGATATGGAATGGCTTATGGTGGGAGGCTATGATCGGCTTGAAGGTGTCTCAGATCAACTAGGTAAGGGGGCAACAGCACAGAAGGCACTGTCAGATTATTAGAGATAGTAAGAACTAGAGATAGAAGAAAATGGGTGGTAATATTCTTGGGGTATAGTTGGAGGGTGGCTCCTAATAATTAGAGAATATCTCTGCCTGGGTGAGAAACTGGACAAGATGGAATTACCAGAAAATAGTGTGTGAAAGGGCACAGGCCAGCTTAGCAGTTTGGTTTGGGAAGGCAGGTTTGCCGTCAATCTCCATAACTGAGACCTGGGAAGGAAACAGAGGCCCAGAGTGGGTAGGTAAGACAGAATATGTAGCCCCCATGTCCACAGTAAGGTTATGAACTTAATAGCTGTCTGGAGTGTTACCCTGGGCTCAGTAGGGTGATGAAGGTCCTCGAATCTGAGCTTCTTCAGTCTTCTGTGAACCCCAGTAGTTCAAGAGGAGGGACCACCTGGCTGGTCATACCCTTGCATGGAGGCACTGAGGAAGGGCCAGCCATGGGGAAGTCACTCTTCCAATGACCTGTCTGCTTATAGGTGGAGCTTGGCCTGAAGAGGGGGCTGTGGGTTTGGGCACTGGTGAGCTCAGTGACTTTTTTTT